CTGCTCATTGTTTTCATTCTGTACTGAAAGGATAGATACATTTTTTAAAGGCTGTTAGAGGGATCTAATATAAATCCTGGTACATTCAGTTTTTTTCTTTCTAGCAGCCATACAGGTGCTGCCCTTTCACTGATATCAGAGCCCATCCATCCTACCACTGCAACAGAGGATGTGGCGTGTTTAAGATATCCTCTTTTCCTTTCACATTCTTAATTTTTATCTTTAGGCTGTAACAAAAGAAGGATTACTCATTCTGACTGACGCGTATACTGAAGCTTTTCTGAGTAGCTTAGACATGACAAGAGAATGGCTAAGGACCCTTGGTAACTGTTGCCATTTTGAGCGCCCTCACTCCTCAGTCTGCTAAAGCAAATTGCAACTCTAAAGGCAGAAAAAGAAAAATTCCTTACTTCTTCACCAATGCGTCTATGTCCTCCAATATCAAAGGTGTGTCTGATTACCACAATTCATGTGACTTGATCGTATTTAGGTTTTCCATAGTCTTTCCAACTAAGTCTCCCAACTAAGTCAACTCAAACTCTACAGTCCTAACTGGACAACTGCAGCAATTTGTCTGAGTCCTTCACATAAAGGCGTATGCACAGTCCTGACCTACGTCTTCTGGCTTCAGGAAAAGAGTAACACTAATAATTTTCTGCACCAATGCCACACACATGTTTTCTAGGGATTTTCAGTGCAACATCACCTCTATTAAAATAGCCAAGGTGCTTTCAGCCATCATGTACTTTCTGTTGATTTTATCCTTAATCCAGCTTCTATTCTGCTCAGACTCTACCTTGCTGTGCACCAGCCCTACCCTATCCCTCTGACCAACCATTGTCCAGGACCCAGGATTTACTGCTATTCCAGGGCTCTCTCCTTATCTCACCTCTTTCCATAAGACCATACTGATAGCAGATCTGCCGGAGGATTAGAGACCAGTTCCTTCTTGAGGTGTGATTAGCAGAAGCCTCCTAAATGCTCCATTGCACGGCTGGTACTATTGCTGCAGCCATCCTCTCCTAACTACTGTAATTTAGCTGCCATATTCTCTCAGCACATAAGTTTTCCATAGCTGGAAGAAAGATTTCAAGAGCAGACTGTCAGAGGCCTTGATATTTCACAGCACTTGTTGTCAAGATGCTCCTAGAATAATCCCATTTAGTTAAATAAATTCACTTCCAGGTAAGGCTTGGCAGACAAAAGTTTTCTGGTCCCAGGAGTTGAAATGAAAGTCTCTGCAGTTTCCTTGTCCCAAACTGAAAGTATGCCAGCCTTCTAATGATCTAGAAATGTTTAATTCCAGTTCAACTCAAAGATTTGCTTGTCATTTAACAAAATGGGATTTTATGATCAAGTTTCATATGAATTATTTTCAGTTTTCATATAAAATGCATGAACTGGAAAGAAATAATAAAATTTATCTTCCAGAAAACAAAGTAAGATGGGATGTTCTGGAAATTTTGTCCCTATAGTTTCTTCAGTCAGGAAATTCATAAAACTGACAATTTTCCAACCGTGTTTCTTTCTGATAAAAAATTGTTTTTCCTGAGGAAAACAAAAACATTTATACTGAAAAACTCCCACTCAGCTCTGCCTTCTATGTAGGTCAATAGTGATTCTGCATAGGACCAGACCCCGCCAACACATCTTTTCCCTTTCTCCCATGTTTTGAAATCAGCATTTTTTTTTAACTGAAGATATGTTTTCCAACTTTTCCTGTGACTGCTCATTTCATATGCTGAAGTTGGCATCCTGGATTTGTCACAAATGTTTTCCCATGAAGATGAGGGATGTCTCTGATGTCATCAGAGACCTGTATCACAGGTAGGACAAAACAAATGACAGGAAGTGAGAAAAGTCAGAAACACTGTCATGTAAATATTCTGAAGTAAGGTGATAATTGCTACTGCAAGGGAAGCAAAAATACTTCTAAATTACGTGCCTTTTTCCCAGTTTTCCATGACACATCACTGTAGGCCTTCTAATGACCTGTTAATTTCATGCCAAGGTTTGAGCTCCTAGAAGCAAAAGTATCTCTTACAGGCTTTCTTCCCTCTGTGCATCCTGGGTGGAGTAGGGCTGGGCAGAGAGTAACAGCTGGCCTTCACTGCAGTGCTGCATCACACTGATTCGTGGGTTTTGTTATTATTCCCGTGCACTCAGATGAAACCTTGTCTTTTGTCACAAGTTTCAGTTGATAACTGGAAGCTGTTCAGCCCTTGCAAGCACACGCGGCCTCTGGACACTGACAGAGTAAATCTCGGCCCCTTGGTGAGATCCTTAGTTACTACAATTAGATTCTACATGGTTAAAGCAAAGAGGAGACAAGGAATACAGCAATGGCATATTTGCTGTTGGACAATGAATTACAGAGTCATCTGGACTGACTTGAAGGAGCCACAGAAGTCTTCCTTCTGCCTTTCAAAAAGAGAGTTAATGCTTTTCAGTCCAGCACCTAGAGGACAGGTAATCTCTCCACAGAAACAAATCTATGACAGCACACTATAACAAACACAAAGAAAGTAAGACTGAGTGTTCAGTCCAGAAAAAAAGACTGAGTACACACTTGGAACAAATTACCCTTTCTTTCCCAAAGGTGATCTTTGTAGGTCAAGGCTGAAATGCATTAGCAATGCAAAAAGGGATTTGGAGGTGAACAGGTGCTGTCATTATCCTCTCCCTCCCCTCTGTTAGGGTGTATAGCAAACGCAGTATCAAGGGTTATCAATCCACAACCCCTCAGCAGGGAGTTAAGCCACTTGAAGAAAATATTCCCGCCTATTACTGGTTAAACCTTGATAATTTTGATTCAACCTCCAGTTTTGTTCATTTTTTTTCCCACAAGGGCAACAAAAAAAAAAAAAAAGGCAGACTGGGGGGAGGGGGAGACAGATCAAATGATTCTATAGTTATTACATTGCAAACTGAGTCAGTGGCCAGGGTAGTCCACAAAGAGGGGGAGCAGAAGCACCCTGACTAGGTTTACCAGGGAGCTGTCAGCTCAGGTCCACCTGAGCAGCAGGCAAGACAGAGGCTACAGGGCAAATCTGTATGTGCCATTTGCACCTCCCATTGGCAAAAATGATCAGTTGTGGCCCAACTGTAGATTTAAATAAGAAGCACTAATTCTGTGAAGACCAGCATGGGGCAGAGAGGACAGCAGCAAATAGGGACTCTGAGGCTGAGTCACATTTCTAGAGAGAACAGGACAGATACTGCCTCTGATCCAAGAGGTGATACAGATCTTTGCTGGGTTTCATGGGTTAAAATTACTTAGTTCATGATAATTTTGCTTCCTGTCTCCTAGCAGTTTGGTTTTTATTGCATCCACCCTCTCACTGAGAATTAGAAGCAGTTTCAGAGAAGGTCTGAAGCTCTTCTTCGTGCTGCTGCGATGCAGCAGCTCCTGGTACAGCACACACAAGAAGCACTCTGTTGTGCTCCAGTGGTGATCTGTGGGCAATGCAAACTCACTATGGACACAAGGCAAACTGTAAACAAGAAAACTGTAACCAGCCTGAAACATGGCAAGAGTAAAAGAAACTATCTATTTCCCTTCCTTCTCACCACAAGCCCAAATTTGCCTTAGTACAACCTCTGTACACATCAAGGTCCAATAGGAAATTGATCCCCTGCATGATAATGTTTCCTCTTTCTGTAGGAACAGAAAATCCCTGTAACTATTGTGTGGCATCTGCTGGACTTATTCGTGGTGAACATTGTACAATAAAGTTAAGAGGTGTCAATTTATTTAACTGTGACTTTATAGACTGAAGTGATGCTTACTGTTTGGCTGCCTCTTCTCATCAAGAGTTTTTCTGTCATATTAATCCCAAAGATGGAGCAGATAAATAAAACTTACTCATCTAAGTATCTCCACGACATTGCCCCAAAAAGACTAGTCAAAAAAAAATTAAAAATATTCTTGCTTTAAATCAATGCTCTTTGTCTCTTTTAGATAGGCAGGAGTTACCCAGTTTAAGAAGCCTTCCTTATATACATTACCACAACTGATCATTTTACATTTCCAGTTACTAATCTATCATACAGGGACTTGTTGACTGCACTGACAATTTCTTTTACTTCATTAGTTTCTTTATTGTTTTATTCAGTCATGCACTTGCTTTGTGTCCCAAAAGTATGCATATGTCCATGCAAATCAGGAAGAGACTCAGTTTCCATTTTGCTGTTTCTTGTCCTGTGCTGCCACTTAGATGTTTCCCCCACCTCAATTCTCATTACACTTAATCTTGCAGAAAGCATACATGTCTGACGTCAGACAGTCATGACATAGCATATACCTGTTTGTATACCCCAACCCCCACATGCCCACTTTGCCAATTCTGGATGTCCATCACCAGAGGCATCACTTTACCAAGCTCTGCTCTGTGATAGCAGACACTGAAGTGGGTGCCTACTGCCCCTCCACATCTCTCACTCCCTTCCCATCTCTAACTGTTCCTACGCCTTCTGTTTCTTTATATGACATTTTCCAAGGTCCCCACTCATTATCGTGTGGTTTCATAGGGAGCAGAGTTGATCTGTTCAGAAAAGTTCTTCCTTAGCTTTGCAGGATTTACAAATTCCTCCAGAAAGCTGAAATCACTTTCACAGCATTTTTCCTCAGTTCTTCCTGTATTAGAAACCAAATTAGTACCCTTTATTTTAAACATCTTTCCATCACTGTTTTAAAACTACCAGGAAAAAAATCCTGTAGACACTTAAAAAATAAATATTCTTTTTGATGTGCCTTTTCATATGAAGAGAAGCAGAAACCAAAATGAGATCCATTTCTCCACATGAACAATCTTATCTAAGCTAACATGAAAAGGGAGATAAAGTTATACCTTTCTCTGATGCTTTAAGATGCATGACTGAGGGGTTTTTTACCATCAGAGGTAACTGACTATAAAATGTGTTGGGTACATATCTATATATGGTTTATATTATAACTATACAGTTTATATATATATATATGAAAAAAACCTCGTACTTACCTTTGAGAAGTAACATTTATCCTAGGTTCAGTAAAATAGTCTCAGACAGGCACTTAGACCTTCTTTCTATGCCATGCATCCTTTTTTCAAAAGAAGATAGAATCAGAAAAAATCCCGGTTGATCTCTAGCAAACCAAAATGCAGACAAGATTGTTTGTCAGATGCAGCCTGATTCAGTGAAGTCCGATCGTGCGAATCCCTGAGACTCCTTGTTCAGTAGTATCCAAAGCACAAAAAAGAGAAAGAAAGAAAAAAAAAAGAAAAAGAAAAAGAAAGAACAAAAAAGTGAATAACTTGTTCTTTTCCTGTCTGGTTTAAAAAACCCAGTCTTGGAGGACTAAGCAGCCTGCAGGCTTTTCAAGCATTCTGATCCTAGTGCATCCCAAGGTAACACATGCATTTTGGTATTGCAAGTCTTCAATTTCATACTAGCAAGCTCAGCTTCTGTGTATGTGTGTGTGTGTTGAGGTGGGGGGCTGAGTTGTACCGTGGGGGGAAGAGAGATTGGGAGACACACACACACACAGTCACGCAGAGATGGAAAAAGGAAAAACAGCAAAGTGGAGTGATCTCACAAAGTGCTCTAGATGGCAGAGCCTGCACGGCTTGTAAGACAAGCAATGTGCACACACCAAAAAAAAAAAAAAAAAAAAAAGGAGGAAAAAAAAAGAGAGAGAGTGAAAAACCCGAGAGAACTAGCAGGCAGCTTCAGGAATTTCTTCTTACCTCTTCTGACGATGCAACATACAGCAAGTGCTTTGTGCTGCATAGGAATCCGTGCAGGCACGACTCAGTCAGACCCCTTACTTCTGAAATAAACAAATATGTAGCATAGGAAAGGGGAGAAAACCAGAAACCAGAGGCACAAGGATACAAAAAGAAGCTAAGAGTAAGATTGTCAGAGAGGAGGCTTGAATGGGCAGGAGGCGAATAGTTGGTACAGAAAGAGGCATCCAAACTCCTGGTCCTAATACAGATTGGCTCTGTAATTATGTGACAAAGCACTGCCCTCTAAGCCATTGCGTAATAATAGAAACCTAAGCTGTGTAGACACAGCCTGACATGCTAAATCCGCAGGAGCTACATTCAACATTTGTCAGTAGAAAGCGTGTCAGTTCTCTGGGGGCGGAGGAATCTGAGGGAAAAGGGAAGGAGAGAGAAATTCTACTGCAAAGTGCAAGAGCTGCAGCTGCAAAGAGCTCTCAGGTGTGCCAATGCCTGAAATGTTATAGTGGAAGTCATATATTATCTGTATCTATGTAGGGAGAGATAGACAAATACAATATGTGGTGCTCAGGAATGTGTTTTAGTGGTGGATTTGGCAGCGCTAAGTTAACAGTTGGACTTGATGATCTTAAAGGTCTTTTCTGACCTAAACAATTCTCTAATTCTAATAACACTTTCAGCTCCATTCGTGCTATTCAATACTAGAAACAGTTTTCCCTTGCTATATTTTAGCAACTTGAACGACAAAAAGAGGAACAGGTTGTCCATGTAAAATATTATTATTTCTAGTGCTGGTGGTGAGGAGTAGTTCTTCCTTTGTACTGAACAGCATTGGAATGTCTAAATAAAACTTGAATTGAGATAAAAGAACTCAGGAGGATTGATCAGCTTTTCCCATTTACCGGCAGGTTCCACTCTCCAATCCTCCAGACACAGAGACATACATTTTCTTCTACCTCTCCTGGTTGAAGAGGCTTCTAGACAGAGCCAGGAAAAAGACGAGTGCTGGCTAAACAAGAGGAGATAAAAATCCAGCTCACCGAAATTGCCACTCACCAGTATCAATTCAACAACAGACAAAATATTTAATAATGCACATGGAAGGAATAAAAAATCCAACAAAACCCAAGACAGCAGTACAATTTTTCAGTGGAAATTTACCTGGAAACTGTGGCCCTGAGTCATACCTGTGGTCCATCTAATCCAGTATGCTGCCTCTAGACAGGGATGAGCACTACACACCTCTGAGGAATTTGAATGAATTTGTGCTGCCAGGGCTAGACAGAGAGGGCTAACCTGTTTGTGGGCAAAGCTTCTCCTTAATCCCTGCTCTTTAAAGATTAGTTAATGCACTGAAGCATGAGCAGTGGAACAGTCTGCTTCTGCACATCCAGATTAAACATGTAAGGTCTGATTCTGAGGTTCTTTGTAGTTAGCATAAAGCACAGCTCTTTTTAGGCACCCTAGAGTTAAAGACTAAAATCTTCTGATGATTTGTAAACATCCCAGTGTGAAAAAAAGGGCAAGAGTTCAGAAAGAGCTATAGTATTTCAGTCTGAAGGGTGAGAAGTATATTTTTATAGCCTCATCTAGGCTAATTACTCTCCTCATTTACTCCTTACTCTTGGTGGAAATATTAAATATGCTTCGAGAGGCCATCCAGTGAAGGTAGAAGAACCAGGTCACCCGAATATTATGCAGATAACAAATTTGGCTCCTAGAAAGTAAAACAAGACTTAATTGAAAACTTTGAAGATCCTTGGAGAATGGCTGCATAGAGCAAGAAATACTTTTTTTTTTGAGGGGCAGATTCTGCTGCAAACTTCAGATCCCTTACTGTAACCTGTCTCACTCCTTTGACCTACGCCTGGTGCATTCCCGGTGGCTCTATCTATATATCCCTGAGGTTGAAGACTGCAGATGTCGCACATATGGGAGATAGACTGTGGTTGAACAGAGGAGGAAGTATTGCAGAGAGAGCGGTTGCCCATTTTGCAGCCTTGGCTTTATATGGAACAGTGCTGAAGGGCTCTTCTTGGAAGGAAGGCTAAGAGTTACCACAGTCAGTAATCTCTGACTAGGCACTGAAATAAATGGTCTGAACAAAGGTAGATTTGAGAACCTGAAAGCTGACAAACTAGGTATTAAATTTTTAAAACTTAATTTATTTTAGATGACTGAAATGTGAATTTAGGAAGCTAACTTTAAACATAACTCCTGGGAATCCTGGGCCAAGCATGTTGATAAGACAACCAAATCAAAGCTCTAATCTTGTCAGTGCCTTACAAAATAAATGTCAGTGCATTGCAGACAGAGAAGACTTCTCTTAATGACATCAGGAATTAATAATAGACTCTGAGACTAGTGTTTCAGAGTTTGATTTGAAAGGAAAATATTGCTTGCAATGATAGAAATCAATGTACTCCACCAGTGCACTCCAAAAATCTTCCAAAAATCTTTCATCAGCTACAGTTTTTACAGTGAAAATTACCAGTGAATAATAAAAGATGATACAATCCTGGGGAAAAAAATCACCCAAAGAAAGGTTTACATGAGGCTACGGTGTGGTGCCTCCCCACTGTGCGAGGCCAGTGTGCTTTCTAGCTTTGTGATGCCCTTTGGAATTTAATGAGAGGTCTCTGGCATTTGCCTCTTAGCTTCTCCTCTTCACCAACCACCCCTGATATATATATTCCTTTGCTCCAAAGTAAAGAGCTTCTCAGTGAATCAACCTCTTTCTTACTTGGACCTCCTAGCAGGCTACCACGTCCACTCATCTCTTTTGCTCAGGTGTCCCTTCTCTCTAATCCTGCTTTAGTTCACAGTCAGCCAACAAGGTTGCTTGAGCTAAATCTGCTCTTATTTCCACCTCCACAGAATTCCCATCACCACCCATAGAGCCACAGAAGAACTCTTATTCTGCTTAGGTAGTGATCATCTCTCAGGCCCACAACACTCACCCCTTGAAAGGACTGTCGAGGTTCAATTTCCCATTCCTGACTTAGATCTAGAAATTTCATGAGAGACCAGGAATACAGATGACTAACTCTATGCTCTGTGAACCTTGCTGAGCAGCTGAAGCTTTCAAGGGATGCAGCTATTCCTATTCCCCAACAGAATGCATAATTTCTATATGAAGACAACTCATAAGGAACTTAAAACCACATTCACGCAAGTTCCCTTGTACAGTGGAAACCACCCAAAAGACCTAGCTTGACACAGAAACTACATAATGAGGATGCTCTCCTTTGACATACAGGGCCAGGTACAGCACCAAAGCTAAGAAAAGTTTGAACTAGGATAGCAGAGCAAGACAAAAATAAAATTGAGATGTTTTTGTGACTTCTAGGACAACTTTACCTACCACAAACATAATTCTCCTTTCTTAAGCCTAGCAGACAACATATTGAAGTCTTTGGCCATCTGACTGGCAATACAATTTAGCATGTACACGTAGACATTGGTAATTCCCATTTCCTGTCCATTCCCTTCCAAACTGAAGCAGTCAGCACTGGTCCTCATGACTGTTTAATCAATGGCTGCCAATCAATTACACTGACTGAAAGACAATTAAAAAAACTTTGGCCTGTGGCCCTACTGATGAAAACAGTTACCAAGAGCTGAACCCATCAGCTTTGAAACATTGGAGATTTGAGGAAAGACTGTATATGTCTTGGGTGCTGTACAGCTCAGCTCTTTACAAATCATTGAATGTCTGTTTATACATGTATACACTGGTATAAAATCTCCTTCTCACATCCTCCACCCACACATCCCTCTGCTTTTAAAAGCAGCTCCAGCCAATAGATAAACTGAATGTACTTTCTTTCAGTTTCTTGCATCTTAGCATGGGGAAAACTTAATCCCAAATTTCCAGACCAGGTGTTGTTTCAGAGTGTAGTGGAAGAATAAGGGTTCTTGAGGCTATTCATGAGACAAAGGCATCACAGAAGGTCCCTTTTGCAGTACACTGTTATAAAAAGCATGGACCAATATCCCATAGGAAATACAAAGATGAACTTCATTAAAATGCTTCATCAACTCCCTTGTCTGTTTTGCAGATGAATGCAGAAGGGTTTCCAAACACCAGGAAAAAGTTTTTTCGGGTCATAGAATAAATTATACATTCATAATCTACTCCATTCTAAGCATTCATCTCATCTGGGATAACTAGGATACTTAAGTAACCTTAAGAGGATCCACTCTAAGTTTGCAGATGCTCTGAAAGAAGGTCATCATAATATTTTTATCCCAGAGATATTATACTTTCCAGGTGCTCACTTTACAAGCAGAAAGATCCTTGTACTTCTGTTTTGCATAATCACATGTCCAGCTCAGTGAATGAAATTTAATGCCCTTTGATTGATAGGTTAAGACCAGAAGGGATAACTATGGCCATCTCATTTGACCTTCCACATAACCTCAGTTATAGAAATCCTGTCTGTGGCTTCTGTGTCTATCATCATAGTATTGGGTGATACAAAAAGTACCTTTTATAAGATTATTTTAAAATGATTGATTTAAAAATTTGAAGTGATGGAACATTTATTCCTCACTCTCTTTATAAATCTATCCAATATTTAATTGCTGCCATTGTAAAAAAATATCCACACCTCATTTTGTTACTCAGAATATACTCAGGGTATGTTATCAAAACCCTAAAGTGATAATTATTAGCTATAGTTGGGTATCTCCTGATCAGAAAACTTAGAATGAGGAATAGCAGAAGTTTCTCCCAGCTAAGTGGATTGATTCCACTGGGGGACAATGACTTCTACTTGAGCCCAGTGCAATCTATTTACTCAGCAAACAAGCAAACAAATAAACAAACAAGCAAAC